TTTTTTTTTTTTTTTTTTTAAATTTATGGCCCTGGGCCTTTTCAGATCATAATTTATGCAGATGTTTTTAGATGCCTCAGAACTGCACAGGCTCATGAATATTGGTTCTAATATTGTGAGATGGAGACAATTTTCATCTCTTACAAATCAGGCTTTTCTGTTGCACGGCAAAGGCAGAGGGACACAGGTTACACCACAGATGGGTCACACCACAGGGACAGGGATTTCTTCCACAGTCTGTTGGGTACTTCTAGAGCTTAACTCACTGTTGAACAAGTTCAACAAGACTGTCCTAGAGCTGAAACAGAGGTGAGTATTAAATAGCTGCCATCTTTCAGGTATCTTCACAGCCATGGGGTGTGTATAGGTATGGTGGTAGAGTCTGTTAATCTTCTAAACAGCATTTTCTTAGAAGGAAGGAAGGGTCTGCGCTTTTAGTCACAACAGCCAGAACTTCCAGGTTTTATCCTTGGGTAAGGTTAGCGTTTCCCATCTTTACTTACTAATCTCAAACTGTGTCTTCACAATAAACACAGAGCAATTGCAGGAATATTGCTTGCTTTCTGCCGCTTTTCATACCCATTGGTATCATAACTAAGTAGCACATGTCTGGTGAGGGAGGAAGAAGAAATCCCTTCAACTAGAAAGTCTTCAGTACTGTCAGCTGCAAATCCAAGCATGGCTCTGTTGCCATGTCAAAATTTCTTCTTGTATGAGGCAAAGGAGACTAATCACACACAACAAGTAAAAGCTGCTCTCTAAGACACCGCTGAATATGCACAAGACTGAACCAACAGCATACTCTCAAGTCTCAATTGACAGGAAGAAAAAACACCTCTCAGTTACACCTAAAAGAAAAACACCACATCAAATGCCACCCCTGGGCACCATGAGACAGTGTCTTCAGAAACCACAAGTACCAATACCAGCCCATAATCATTACCACATAATGTCCTGCACTTACATTCTCACTCCTTCATCTCCTTTCACTTGCAAAAATCTAAGACTCACTTCTGTTCTACCCTTCACTCATTAATTCCCCTTCTAAGGAAGTATCTGCATACACAGTTTACTTTAGAGAATATTCCAAGTCTCTTAAATATTCTGCCACACTAGTTTAATGTTTTTCCTGAGCAGTCAATCCTTTTGATAGAGGCAAAAGAGTATCCATTTGCTTTTCCCATAACACAGAAATACATCCAAATTTTAGAATCACATCTCAGTTCTGAAAACAAATCAGATCTTGCTATAGATCTGCAAGGGAACAAACAAAGGATTTCATCAGCAAATGCCTCCACGTTTCACTTTTTCTTGACTGCAAAGAATGCAGTAGGACAACTCACTCCTATACACACAATTAATTCTGTATATTTTTTGTTATCTTTTGTTAAAATTCAATAAATTCTTTCCCCGGCAATGAGGTGCAAGAATGGATTCTGTTAAGATTCTCTGAAATCAGAAGGAGAGAAAATGCATTCTCACTGAAAATGCAAATACATACTGGGCTACTTTAAGAGGAATGGGGCAAGCAGCTCTAGGGATGTTGCTATTCTCCTTTTCTCAGCAGTATCTGAGACTGCTTCTCGAGTAGCATCTTCAATTTTGTCATCCTAGTTCTCCCTTTCCACAGTTCAAGAAAGAAGTGTAGAAACTGGGGAGAGGCAAGAGTTAGTAAGATGGTCTGGGGTCTAAAGCAAACTACCTGTGAGGAGAGATTGAGCACATGTATAGTAAAGCAGAAGCTAAGGGAAGACTTTGTAGACACAGCTAACATCCTGAAAGGCACTTACAAAGAGGACAGAGCCAAACAATTCTTGTCAGCAGGTTATGTAACTAATAAATAAATACAAAACGACCAACTGCAGCTTGGGAGGTTCCAGTAGAAACTTAAGACCATCTTTTGCTGTACATTTGTTTTAAGGAAGCAAAGTTTCCATTCCGAATAGCTGCAAGAACCACTTACGGGTCATCTTCTGGACACGAATGCTAGCATTCATAGTGATATTCATATGTCATACTAGCACTGCTTTTAAGGATGCTGCCAATTTCAGGAACAGTTGGTAGCTATACCAATCTCTCTCCAGCCTTCTATAAACTTTCCTATAAGTCTCTTTTCTAACATTATAGTACCTGTATCAAACATTTCTACTGAGCAGTAAGACCAAAAGAACCGCCAGTATCCTAGCTATCCAAGGTACTACTTAAAACCACTAATGACTACACTAATGATTACAATCACTACAATGACTAATGTCAGTCATTACCAAGATTTCTCAAAAGCAACAGATTAATTTTTCTTTATGTAAATGAATAAGGCTGTCTACACCTTGCTCAATTTAAGTCACAGTAAAGAAAACAAATAAAATTATCAAGTAGGAAATAGTTACCGTTTTTTTCCCCCCATTCTGCTACTGACAGAAACAGAAGAATAGAATTTCTACAAATTCATTTTTACAAAAACATAACACTGAATTGAAATCTAGGTCTGAAAAACATCAGCACAAAGAAGACACAAAGGATCAAAGGACAAAAACCAAGAAGGAACACAGGAATAAAGAACAGCAGTGAGCAAGACTAACAATAATATTAAGGGAAGTAAGTCAGATTACATTAAAAAATATTGAGAATAGCTTTTCAGGTTAAATGGAAAGCACCGAACTGACCACAAACTCCTGACAGAAACAACAGGCAGTAAAAGAACCTACTGTGGGACTATTCCACGGATTCTCTTGGATATGACTCATAAGAACCTGTCATAGGGTTCAGTATTGATGACACAGAAAAAGCTGAATGAATAGCATACAGAGCGACAACAGAAGAATATTCTTTACGTTTAATAGTAAGCTTATAGGATGGCTAATCTTACAAGACCAATCTCATTCCTTTGACTTCTTCCTAGTTCACCTATTTTAAAAAATTTTCAAACAGATATGACAGAACTTCATAACAAAGTACTGTGCAACACCTAAAGCAAAAACGCAAGTTTCAGTCTGCCCTCGTGCTCCGGAATGGATTTAAACCACTTCAGCTTAACCACAGTTAAAGGCTGCATCTTATGATACGCTTTTAAAAATTTGTATGTAAAACTTGGGTAACAAAAACTTTTATTATGCCATTTGCACACATGCTGCTAAATGCCCTGCTGCAGAATGGGACATTGCAAGAACGAGGGAAGAAAAGTGATTGGAATAGGCTGCCCAGGGAGGTGGTTGAGTCACCATCCCTGGATGTGTCTAAGAGCCGTTTAGATGTGGTGTTGGGGGGTATGGTGTAGGGGAGAACTTTGTAGAGTAGGGTAGATGTTTGGGACTCGATGATCCCAAGGGTCTCTTCCAACCCAGATGATTCTATGATGACAGCTGTGGGGGAAAAAACAACAAAAAAACCCAAACTGATGTGTGGGAATGAAGTTTCAAGAAACCAAAGCGCACAGGGGAGCACGCTGCCCATAAAAGGCTGGGCCAGGTCTCATGTATTGCGACTCCTCAGCTGAAAGGCATGGAAAATATACGGGAAGCAAGGCAGGCAGGGGTGGAAGCCGGGGAGGGGGCAGCACCAGTGCTGTGCTGGGGGCCACGCTCTGGCGTCCCAGGCGGGCTGCCGCCTCCCAGGAGAGCAAACCGTGGAAATAACTCACCGCCGCTGCACCAGCCCTACCTTCGGTCCGGGGAAGAGCTTGTTTTACAGCCCGACGGCCGCTCTCCGACCTGGCGAGGAGAAAAACCACCACCTTCAACCGAAGGCCCAAACTCGCCTTTTCCCACCCGTTTTTTGCACACACCCCCCCTTCCCCCGCCCCCACCAAAACCGCGCCGCTTAACCGCCTCGCGGCCTTCCCGCCGGTTCTCTACCTAAGCCCAGAAAAAAAGGTTGGAAGGCTCAAACGCCTCACCCTCAACCCTCTCCCCCACCGGCCGGCCGGCCTACCCACCCACCGGCTCCGCGCCGCGCCAACCCTGCCCGGGACCCGCCGCCGCTGCGGCGACCCGCCTCCCTTCCTCCGTCGCGCCGATTTACGTCATAACGCGGCGACATACACCTCCCCCTCTCCGGTGGGAGGTGCAGGCGGCGGCGGGAACGAACGGCGGGAAAGGGGGGGCCGCCGGCTGCACCTCCCACCCTGTGTTTTCCCCCCCTCATTTCGTTGCTCCTCCGTTTTCACATCAGCCTCTGACACCGCTCCCGGGTGACGCCGCCACCACCGGCCCGCCAGGGGGGCGCTGTTGGCCGCCACCGTGCACCGTCGTCGTCGTCGCTCCCCCCACCTCACTCCGCCCTCGCGCGGTGCAGGTCGGGAGTTGTAGTCCCCGCCCGGCACGTGTGTGAGGGGAGGTCGGGCCCAGCCGCCGCCATGCCCAAGGTGCGGGCCGGCAAGCGGCCGCGGCGGGAAGGTGGAGAGGGCCGCGCTACGGGTGAGTTGAGGGACCGGGCTGAACGGCGGCAAGTCCTGGGAACGGAGGTCGGGGCCGCGGGCCTGCCCCTCCGCGGTCCGCGGGGCGCCGCGGTGGGGGAGGGGGGGGAGCGCGGTTTGAGGCGGCAGCGGGATTAACGCCGCTCTTCCCTCCTCAGGCATCCTTTTCAACACCGGGGCCGGTCAGCACATCCTGAAGAACCCCCTCATCGTCAACAGCATCATCGAGAAGGTGGCTGGGGGAGGGGGGACACCCCCACATCCCTCCCGAGGGGTCTCCGGGTGCCCGGCCTTATCCCGGCCTCTGCCCTCGCTGGGGCTGGGGAGGGACCTTCCTCCTGCACTCCCTCCCTTCCCGCCTGCATACCCCCTTTTCTTTCTTTAACTCTTTTTTTTTTTTTTAACATGTGGCCGCTTGCTCGTTTTTCTACGCTTGGCCAAAGATGTCTCACAAATAAACCAGCCTTAAGGCATTCCTGTTCTCATCGTTCCCCTCGCCTCCCTTCCTTTTCACCCTCCTCCGCTCGCTGATTTCGGCTTTTGACCGAGCTGCACCCACCTTTTCTTGCCGAAATTAAGTCCTTGCTTGAAATCGGTTCAAGGAAGATAACTGAAAGTCCCCTTTGTTCTTAGGCCGCCCTACGACGCACAGATGTCATTCTGGAAGTAGGCCCGGGAACTGGTAACCTGACAGTAAAGATGTTGGAGAAAGTAAAAAAAGTAAGTGCGGATTTCCACCCCCCCACCCCCCCAAGCTCAAATCACGTTGTGGCTTAGACTTTGGCACACAGGAGTTCCTTCGTCTGCTTGATTCAAATTAGTAGAATTACTTTATGGCTGTTTTTCTTAACATTCACATAATTCTAGTGAGTTTTCAGCTGGTTGTGTAAATCCTCCATGGCTTTGTCAAAGTATATTGTTGTTATCCATTTACGTGGTAAGGCTTGCGTGGTTTTGGAGAGGGAGGAAGATGCATCACCCAGCAGGGAATTTTAAAGACTTATTGAACCCCGTCCATAGATACAGGGAATTTTTTACAATTGGAATTTTAATCCCAGTTAAGAGGAATTGTATAAAGTGGCAAATACATACTTTGCTTTCAGGTCATTGCTTGTGAAATTGACCCTAGACTTGTTGGAGAACTTCAGAAGAGAGTCCAGGGCACGTGAGTATTAACTGTGGAAACAGTGAGCCCTTAAAGCAGTGGAGCTGCTTTGGCATAAAACTTTGGCAACATGCAGAGGATAACCACAGTGTATTTTCCCCCAGGTGTCTGGCAAACAAACTTGAAATCAAGGTTGGAGATGTCTTGAAAACAGAGTTACCATTCTTTGACGCATGTGTAGCTAACTTGCCTTATCAGGTATGGGCTAAACAACATGGAAAAACTTTTTTCTTCTTAAATTATAATTGCCTAGAAATTGTACTAACACTATTACTCTTTTCCGCAGATTTCTTCACCTTTTGTTTTCAAGTTGTTACTTCATAGACCTTTTTTCAGGTATGTGAAAGAACAGAACTCTTTGTTACCTGATAGAAAAAAAAATATTTAAAAATATTCCCAAATCAAATTTTTTGATTGATGGATCATAGCTGCACCAGAATTTTTCTGTAATATAAAACCTGCCAGTGCCTGGAAATAAGTTTATGCCAATGTATCAAGTACAAGGAGAAAATTTAGTCTTAGCATCAGTGAGTGTCCAGCTGCTGAAAACAGGCTATTTACGCTACTATTGTAACTAACTGTTATTCCAGGGTTAAGTAGGGCGTTGTGGCATTTCAGATGCCTTCCTACCTGAGAAAGAAAGCGTGGAAAGGGTAGCATCAAAGCCAGAACACTTCCTGTTGTTTGGTCTAAAAATATGACTGCCCAGGTACTTCTGTGTGTTGTTTAACATGTCAGCAGTTCTTGATTTCCCTCACTGAAGCCCTGCTGTTGGTGACGTTGCTGGTCAATTTTTGGAGCTGGAGAGTTCAGGTTTATAGGGCTCATCGTGGAATTATTCAAAATTATTTGTTACAGTCAGGCACAGAACTTTGAGACAAACCTCTGTCTCTCTTATCCTGATGCGTTTAGCAGTATAAATAATCAAATTCTGTTGGAGCTTTCAGAAGATTTAGATGATTTCATCAAGTTTTGTGGTTTGCTTTTTTAACACACTCTGAGCTAATTAAGGCAGAATTCGTGTATGATGAAATCTTACTGCTTCTAAGCGCTGAGGTAAATCCTGTGTTTTCCAAGTGTGTTAGTTGGCTTTTGACGTAAAAGTTTATTACCTAAAAAACACTTTCTTGTTTCTGTTATTCTCAGGTGTGCAATACTTATGTTTCAAAGGGAATTTGCACTTCGTTTGGTTGCCAAACCAGGAACTAAACTGTATTGCAGACTCTCTATTAATACGCAGTTATTAGCCCGAGTGGACCATCTGATGAAGGTACGTCGTTCCGCATTAGCTAACAGAGCTATCAGAGGTAGCAGAACGTTTCTAGGAATGTGAGGATTTGGTGTTTATTCGTACAGCTGCCTGACTTCTCCTGACTAACAGGTTGGAAAGAACAACTTCAGGCCGCCTCCCAAAGTCGAATCCAGTGTTGTCAGAATAGAGCCAAAGAACCCACCACCCCCTATCAACTTCCAGGTGAGTGTTGGATAATCTAGTAACAACGTAACACACTAGTGATGATACTTAATTTCATTTTTCTTTTCACTTATTACTCAGTTCCCTATGCTGTTTTCACTATCAAGTATCAGCTATTCATTGGCATTTACATAATTCCAAAATACTTGTTCCTCTATTGAACGTGCTTGTGTTAAGACATTACCCAAATATGCCACCATCAGTTTGCGTGCACCTTTGTGTCCAGTATTTCTGACAAAACTGAGGTACCATTTCCATGTCAATTGAAGAGCTGCTACTAATAATGTCCCTTTCATCCTGGTTTGTATCTCCCAGAGACGCTTCTGGCTGATGACTTTGTTGGTTATGATCAAAGGAGTGTCTATGAGAAGTATTATCTTTAGATGCGTGTGTAATCTCAGAAGACAGATGTTACAGGATATTATTCTTAATTTTTAAAATGCTCTGATCTTCAAGACCATTTCAGCCTTTCCCAGGCTGAAATGATTGAAGAAAATCTAACCAGATTTTCTTCAGGCATCTTCAGGCATTCTCAGCACCAAGATCTGGCCAATAGTGCCTAGGCACAAAAAAGAACAATGTGAAGGTTTTTGTGGGTGAAGTATTTTTTCCTGCACTTGGATTGCTTTGTCCAAGACAGGGCTGGTTTTGTATTGTTAGAAAAAATTCTTTCAGGAAAATAGCTCTTTGCGTTCAATAGTGGTGTGAAATTGCCAATAGCAACTGTTCTTGTTTGTAGTGGCTATATGTTCCTTTTGGTAAATTCTGGAATTTTTAATTTCAGGAGTGGGATGGTCTGGTAAGGATAGCCTTTGTTAGGAAAAACAAGACACTCTCTGCAGCATTTAAGTAAGTAACTTCTATTAAAGGAAATCTTTCCAAACTTTGAGAGCCCATCCAGTTAACCATTTCTTTTGTGCAAATGCATAGCAGTGCTATATGCATGCCAGCACAGAGAAACCATGATGGAGGATTTCTGCTTTATCACAAGGGGGGTTTTTAGAAGAAAACTCGGCAGCTGTTCAAAAAGAACAGCTCTGTTCTAGTTGTTATGTTTTTTTATAGTAAAGATTAACAAGTAATCAAGTAAAAAAAAGTAAAAAAAATAAGTAAAAAGATAGTTAAAGCTCAGTATTCATTATAAACTTGTATTTCTTTCAGGTCAAGTGCTGTAGAGCAGTTGCTGGATCATAATTACCGAATTCATTGTTCCTTACATAATACAGTAAGTTCCTTTTTTAATGTATTCAATTCTGTTTCTGTATACTGTGGCCTACATACTGTCTTTTTTAAGAGTGAAAAATTAAAATGGAAAATCCTAACAGGTTAAAATTTTTCTGAGACAGTTTGAGGAAGGGAGAGAAAAATCTAAGAGGGTCACTAAACTACAGTGAAAAAGCTGAGTCTGTTATTAATGTATTTGCTTTACATATCTCAGGGATTTTTACTGATGTAGTAAAACTTTTTGTGTCTGCTTAGTGATACTGTTGTCATTCATTTATAGTGAATGAGCTGAGGTATAAAATTTCTGATACAAGAATAGAAGAATACAAGGAAAAATACAACTTCTTTCTATCACTTGAAAGAAGAACTATTCTAAAAGCAGGAAAAGAATAGATGATTTAAATGAACCTGTTTCTGTGCTATATATAGAAAATTAATTTGTCTCGTATTTTTCATTGACAGGAAATACCTGAAAACTTCAAAATTGCAGAAAAAATACAGACAGTCCTAAAAAATACAGGTTACTCTGATAAACGAGCCCGTTCAATGGATATAGATGATTTCATTAGGTATTTTTTTTTCTCTTTGTGCCTTTCTTTTAAGCTGCTTCAGATTCTACCTGTATCCATACCTGTATAGCACAGATTAGCATTGCGTTATGCAGGAAGAGTACTAATTCTGTTTTCCTCTCAATACCAGATGCTCCTTGTTTCCAGTCCTGAACATGAACAAACACTTAAACCCTGTAGATATATTTAAAATGCTGCTTACAGTATTGAGATGCAAGTAGCTGAAGATCCCTATTTCTGGTATTTGTGTACTAGACCCTTCTACGTCTCCTCTGAAAATGGCTTTAATGGAATTGGTTATTATAATTTCCCTGGAGACTTACACAGCTCTTCTCTGTCCATCTTGTGGATTAGGCCATAGTGTATTAGGCTCTGTGGCCGGGCCCAGAGAGTGGTGGTGAATGGAGTCAAATCCAGTTGGTGGCCGGTCACGAGTGGTGTCCCACAGGGCTCAGTACTGGGACCCGTTCCCTTTAACATCTTTATCAATGATCTGGATGGAGTGCACCCTCAGTAAGTTTGCAGACAACACCAAGCTGGGTGGCAGTGTCGACCTGCTGGAGGGTAGAGAGGCTTTGCAGAGGGATCTGGACAGGCTGGATCGATGGCCTGAGTCAACAGGATGAGGTTCAACAAGGCCAAGTGCCAGGTCCTGCACTTGGGTCACAACAACCCCCTGCAGCGCTACAGGGTGGGGGCAGAGTGGCTGGAGAGCTGCCGGGCAGAAAAGGACCTGGGGGTGTTGGTCGACTGTTGGCTGAACATGAGCCAGCAGTGTGCCCAGGTGGCCAAGAAAGCCAACAGCATCCTGGCCTGTATCAGGAACAGTGTGGTGAGTAGGACTCAAGAGATGATCGTCCCCCTGTACTCGGCACTGGTGAGGCCCCACCTCAAGTGCTGTGTCCAGTTTTGGGCCCCTTACCACAAAAAAGACATTGAGGTGCTGGAGCGGGTCCGGAGAAGGGCGACAAAGATGGTGAGGGGTCTGGAGAGTAAGTCTTATGAGGAGAGGCTGAGGGAGCTGGGGTTGTTCAGTCTGGAGAAGCGGAGGCTGAGGGGAGACCTTATCGTGCTCTATAACTACCTGAAAGGAGGGTGTAGAGAGGTGGGGGCCGGTCACGTCTCCCAAGTCACAGGCAACAGGACAAGAGGAAATGGCCTCAAGTTGCGCCAGGGGAGGTTCAGGTTGGATGTTAAGAAAAAAATTTACACTGAAAGGGTTATCAAGCATTGGAATGGGCTGCTTAGGGAAGTGGTTGAGGCACCATCCCTGGAGATTTTCAGGGTTTAGTGATTTACTAATGGGGGGGTTCTTTTGTATGGTTTTTGTATGGTTTTCTTCCGGGTTTTTTTTTGTTGTTTTTTTTTTATTCAGAGTTAGATTGATGGCTGGACTAGATGATCTTAAAGGTCCCTTCCAACCTAGACAGTTCTATGATTCTATATAGCATAATTTGGAAATTTGAGTAATTAACTGCTATATTCTGCTTTTACTTCTGGTCAGTTAATTTAAGCAGCCACGTGAATCCTCTCCTACTTTGAAAGAAAAATTCCCAGCTATTTCTCAATGTGACAAATAATACAGCTACTGCCTTTTTAAAGAAACATAGTAAGCCTGGTAGGATGCAGTATCACTAACTGCACTAAAAATATACCTGCATCTCTAAATGGCAAAATTGCTAGTAACTTCCAGTATAAGATTTGTAACAATTCTTTATGGTAGTTGAACAGTGACAGCTGCTTTCATGCTATTTTCCTCTGTTCCTTGCCAGCCAGCACGTCTTGGAATTGCCTTAATCCACAGTATTAATTAGTAGAAATTGTAACATAAATATTTCACTCTTTCAGCCTGCTGCACGGCTTCAATTCAGAAGGCATCCATTTCTCATAGATTCCGCTAGAAGAATGAGAGATGTTCTGTGCTTTGCCACCGAAGTCTTACCTGAGACAGAGTGACTGCAATGGGACAATCTCTTCCTACACGGCGATGAGCAGAATACAGTGTGCACACTCTGGTGGTTATTAAGACCTCACACGCAATTGGTATCACAGGTGGTAGGCAAGGTGCTGCTGCTCTGTGTTTTAAAAGTGATAAATTCTTTTATGACGGAAGCACTGGACTTCCACACGACAGTGTATTTTTAAATATACCCAATAACAAGGATGGATGCTGCCATAATTGAAATACATGTTCTCCAATCATGGATCTAATCTCAGTATATTCTTGCACAGTACTCGACAGTACAACCCGTTAAGTCTGGTCTGGGCAACAAAACCAGAATTGTATTAATTCCATTTGTTTGCAATTTTTGTTTTAAAGTGTATTTAAACACTTTTGATTTTAAATGCCTGTCTCTTCTATTTGTCCTCTGGTAGCTACCTGCATTCCAAGTCTGATAGTAATCTGCTTCTCTTGGAGAAATCCCAGTTTCTCAGGAACAAGAGCATTTATCTTGTGAGCTGTGTACCATTTACAAAACATTATGGAGGTACCTAGAACTACAAGTGTCATCTCCTTAATCCCTTCCTTATTGCCATCAAACCACTGTAGGAAGCAGCAGAAACCTACGCAAGGGCAGTGCTCATAAGCACAGCCAGAAGGAGGGGGGTTTGTTAACTCAAGCAGCTATTTTTATAAGAAAACTACTTCAGCCTTCAAGGCAAGGGGGAGCTTTAACATAGATCAAAGCTTTCATCGAGTCTGGGAGTAATGCGTGCCTGTGTCCCGACAGAAAGACTTGCTCAAGTGTCTTAATATAGTTTGGATTACAGATATTTGTTACTAAGGACAAAGCAGAGTTTTCCCAGGGAAGTTTGCATTAACTCTGCATAGCAGCTGCCAAAATAAAAGTCCACTTTGGTCTGTCTAATGATTCAGGAAAACCGTACCTATTAACTGTAGCATCATGCAGGGGTGAAGGCAGGAGTCTCTGTATTAACCTTTTCATATATAGCATATCTCCTTCCATAAGACCACAGTAAGTGGAGAAGAGGCTAATTAGGTAAAACTCTTCTAAGATATAACTTCATTTAATACAGACCCTATGTCAGTTCCTTAAAAGTCATCGATTCAGAAGCATGTACAGAAATATGTACTTGAATTTGCAGTCATGCTGAGAGGTTGTCTTATTTACTAATGGGGGGGTTCTTTTGTATGGTTTTTGTATGGTTTTCTTCCGGGTTTTTTTTTGTTGTTTTTTTTTTTATTCAGAGTTAGATTGATGGCTGGACTAGATGATCTTAAAGGTCCCTTCCAACCTAGACAGTTCTATGATTCTATATAGCATAATTTGGAAATTTGAGTAATTAACTGCTATATTCTGCTTTTACTTCTGGTCAGTTAATTTAAGCAGCCACGTGAATCCTCTCCTACTTTGAAAGAAAAATTCCCAGCTATTTCTCAATGTGACAAATAATACAGCTACTGCCTTTTTAAAGAAACATAGTAAGCCTGGTAGGATGCAGTATCACTAACTGCACTAAAAATATACCTGCATCTCTAAATGGCAAAATTGCTAGTAACTTCCAGTATAAGATTTGTAACAATTCTTTATGGTAGTTGAACAGTGACAGCTGCTTTCATGCTATTTTCCTCTGTTCCTTGCCAGCCAGCACGTCTTGGAATTGCCTTAATCCACAGTATTAATTAGTAGAAATTGTAACATAAATATTTCACTCTTTCAGCCTGCTGCACGGCTTCAATTCAGAAGGCATCCATTTCTCATAGATTCCGCTAGAAGAATGAGAGATGTTCTGTGCTTTGCCACCGAAGTCTTACCTGAGACAGAGTGACTGCAATGGGACAATCTCTTCCTACACGGCGATGAGCAGAATACAGTGTGCACACTCTGGTGGTTATTAAGACCTCACACGCAATTGGTATCACAGGTGGTAGGCAAGGTGCTGCTGCTCTGTGTTTTAAAAGTGATAAATTCTTTTATGACGGAAGCACTGGACTTCCACACGACAGTGTATTTTTAAATATACCCAATAACAAGGATGGATGCTGCCATAATTGAAATACATGTTCTCCAATCATGGATCTAATCTCAGTATATTCTTGCACAGTACTCGACAGTACAACCCGTTAAGTCTGGTCTGGGCAACAAAACCAGAATTGTATTAATTCCATTTGTTTGCAATTTTTGTTTTAAAGTGTATTTAAACACTTTTGATTTTAAATGCCTGTCTCTTCTATTTGTCCTCTGGTAGCTACCTGCATTCCAAGTCTGATAGTAATCTGCTTCTCTTGGAGAAATCCCAGTTTCTCAGGAACAAGAGCATTTATCTTGTGAGCTGTGTACCATTTACAAAACATTATGGAGGTACCTAGAACTACAAGTGTCATCTCCTTAATCCCTTCCTTATTGCCATCAAACCACTGTAGGAAGCAGCAGAAACCTACGCAAGGGCAGTGCTCATAAGCACAGCCAGAAGGAGGGGGGTTTGTTAACTCAAGCAGCTATTTTTATAAGAAAACTACTTCAGCCTTCAAGGCAAGGGGGAGTTTTAACATAGATCAAAGCTTTCATCGAGTCTGGGAGTAATGCGTGCCTGTGTCCCGACAGAAAGACTTGCTCAAGTGTCTTAATATAGTTTGGATTACAGATATTTGTTACTAAGGACAAAGCAGAGTTTTCCCAGGGAAGTTTGCATTAACTCTGCATAGCAGCTGCCAAAATAAAAGTCCACTTTGGTCTGTCTAATGATTCAGGAAAACCGTACCTATTAACTGTAGCATCATGCAGGGGTGAAGGCAGGAGTCTCTGTATTAACCTTTTCATATATAGCATATCTCCTTCCATAAGACCACAGTAAGTGGAGAAGAGGCTAATTAGGTAAAACTCTTCTAAGATATAACTTCATTTAATACAGACCCTATGTCAGTTCCTTAAAAGTCATCGATTCAGAAGCATGTACAGAAATATGTACTTGAATTTGCAGTCATGCTGAGAGGTTGTCTTGGAAAACTGAAGTGCTCCTTAATTTTAGGATGTAATTGATTCTAGTGCTGCCTCACTGCATAGAGGACCGATCTACGAGTGAGGCAGGTAGCCACAGCAATATGCTGAGACTAATGCTGAAGGAACAAGCGCTGGAGATTCGTGTCACATTTCCTCAATACTTGTTTTACAGGACAGGAACAAAGATAATCTTGTCTGAGTCCTGTTGGAGTAATTCCAGTCCATCACAGCAATGGGCTGCAGCAATTCCAGTTCTGTAACCAGCCGTGTGGGAGCAGATCTGACCTCCACAGCAGGCTGTGTCACAAAGGCTGTCTCCTAACAGTCCCCAGAAAAAGCAGATGGAATTTCAGCTCGCGTCCCCTACCTGACAGGACACAGTTCACTTACAAGGCTTAGCAAAAAGCTGCTGAAATGGGTCTGCCTGGCTCTGACCTTCCCCTGGTCACCTTTGGCAGCCGGTGTAAAGCACAGCCTGGCTGTGGCTCCAGGCTTGCAGGGAGGAAGAGTGGCAGAGGCCGTGTTTCTCACGTAGGATGCCTTGCTCTTCAGAGGCTTTTTAGAAAGTAAGATTATGAGAATATGAGCTGGCAGTGTGCCCAGGTGGCCAAGAAAGCCAACGGCATAGTGTGACCAGCAGAAGTAGGGAGGCGATTGTCCCCCTGTACTCAGCACTGGTGAGGCCACACCTGGAGTATTGTGTCCAGTTCTGGGCACCTCAATACAAGAGAGATATCGAGGTGCTGGAGCGAGTGCAGAGGAGGGCAACGAAACTAGTGAAGGGCCTAGAAGACAAATCATATGAAGAGCAGCTGAAGGAGCTGGGGCTGTTTAGTATGAGGAAGAGGAGGCTGAGGGGAGACCTCATCACTCTCTACAACTACGTGAAAGGACGCTGTAGAGAGGTTGGTGCTGGTCTCTTCTCACAGGTAATTAACAATAGAACGAGAGGGAGTTGAGTCACCATCCCTGGCTGTGTTTAAGGGACGTTTAGATGGGGTACTGAGGGATATGGTGTAGGGGAGGACTTTGTAGAGTAGGGTAGATGGTTGGACTTGATGATCCCAAGGGTCTCTTCCAACCTCAATGATTCTATGATTCTATTTCTCTAGAGCAGCTTCAAAGAAACCCGCTGGTATTACGTGATAACCTGCACTATCACCTGCTAACAAAAGCTGCTGCCTTCTATTTCATTGGTTTTTACCTTTAAACTGTGATGGATGAAGTTCTTAAACAAATGCTCAGAAAGATGTGTGATGTTTCTTTTAAGGCCTGCTGCCAAACTAAAGTCAGGACAGTGCTCTGGGGAACCTCTTCCTGTATGACACATTGGTACAGGAGAGCCAGCTCCAGAAGAAAACACTTACTCTGAAATCAAAGGCCTTTTCCAAAGTGTAACTCCAATGTGGTTACAAAATGAAACCCTTCCCAAAGCACAACAGAAATTTCATAGAAATAAATTCTCATCTGTAGTTCATTTAATAGCTTAATTTATTAAACACATTATGTAAAATCTACATTGTTTCAGTTTTCATGTTTACACACAGGAGGATTTTTTTTTTTTAATTTTTAACCATGAAGCGACAAGAGCTTCCCATAGCCTACCTTTCTATGGGAGATACAAACATTAAACACTACAAGAATTCCTGGCTCATTAAACTCTCTTTTCATTGCCTTCCCTTGATTTCCCTCCAGCCTGGCACAGACGAACAAGCTCGTGTTCCAAAAGTAATTTTTAAACAGTTCCAAGGGAAAGTCTGCTGATACAAACTCCTGGAAACAGGGAGAACTCCTAGAGAGGTCTACAATTCTTCATCTGACAAGAAGTTCTTACATAAAAGGTCAATCTTTTTTTGGACACTGACTTGCAAAAATAACTCCAGTGCCACCACCTAAAAAGTGCTGATACACATGGCCCCATTTGTAAGAATTCAGGTACTTATGGGATTTCCATGAGCGCTAGGTAGAGGTATTGTGCAGAATCCCCAAATGATGTAACTCCACCCCACTTTTCAGCTGCTGGCACTGTACAAAGGGAAAAATAGGTATTAGCCACTTTTTTTTTTTTAAAAAGCAACAGAGCTACTCAAACTACCTGCAAGCTACGGTTAATGTACATGTAAGTTTGTCATGCATCAAAAGCCAAATCTTAACAGTATGTGAAAGGCCGGTTACATACGTATTTAGCTCGATCCCTGAACTTTGTGACAGTTGTCCTGTCCACACGCAAAGGTGAGATCGTACCTTTACTCTGACAGCATGATCACAACCATACCACATACTGTACATCTGCATTACCCTAAGATACAACTCTCCTCAGTACTTAAACATTACCCTTTATTATACATCAACTAATTTATATTTGTGGGGTTTTGTTCTTTT